AGTCAGGATTGTTCCTTAGTTTACCGGGTTTATGAAACATTATGATGATGGCATATTTCCAAGCTGTTGGGAATTAACCCAGTTTGATAATTGCATTATATACTTGTGTTAATTGAACAACAGCTTTCCTCTTCATGTTTCTTAGGAACGGTCGGACGATCATATATATCAGGAGATTTTTTGGTCTGAGAGCGCGCGACCTCCCTGGAGGGAAAAAGTCGTTGAATTTATTGTTTCACCAAAGAAGAGAATTTAAAAAACCAATTAACTCACTCATCGTTGTCAATTTCCAGTTCACCGTCAGAAGAAGATGACGTGTTTATACAATATTTAAAATAACACTCCCATCAAGCACAAATTGGGCAAACTCGACATGTTCATATTTCCATCGTAATGCAACAATAGATTAAACTCACTCAGTACAGAAGAGAAGAAGAAAAAAAAGAATTCCGCCGTTCGCAACATTAAATAGAGGTTGAAAGGAAAGGAGAAATAAGAAAACACGCACCATCACCTTCAAGTGGGACGCGATTGTGTAGATTTCCCCTGTCTTGTTAATGTCAGTGGCCAAAATTAGTTACCATAGCGCCAGTTGGGTTTCTACAAAGAAAGACAGAATCTTTCCTAGATGAAAAACACTTTTTCTTTGTAAATCGTCGTAAACAACTAAGTCGAAAGATTTAGTTAAAACCAACAGAAAATTTTTATCATTGAATAATTGTATGTGTGATTATTTTTATGGTTTTAAACTAGTAAAACTAAAACACTACAACTACACAATGCTTAATTAGTTGGAGAAGAGTTTCACAGAAGCCTTATGGGCTTTAAAACAAGAGACTGAGTAGTGTTTTATTGGTTATTAAAATGAAACGGACGTCAAATTACAAAAGCGTTTTGATTGGACAGCACCCTACTATGAAACTACTAAACTTTATGTTACATTGCTTGAGTGATGGCATAATTTAACTAATAAAAGAACTGCATAAACCGGAATGTTTAATACTTTTCATCAATGCAAGTACTATAAAATGAATAATAGATAAATTATAACAGCCCTGGTTTAAACTGTAATTTTCATTAAATGGATATATTAAAGCAAACAAAAGTTGTTGAAAATAAGACAGATTGTAGTTTTATCGGCAGTATTTCGACTGTGGAATTTGATATAGCCTAATTGGAGTTGTAATAAAAAGAAATCACGATGGCCGGATTGCCATAGCATCTCGTTTCTCTGCAGAAACGGTCCGACGGGATTCCAGAAGTTTTTTTCCCAACTTAGTTCCCCTCTGTGCTATTTTGCCCATTAAATCCTTCATAACCTCGTCATCCACCGGTAGAAATTATCAATCCTGAATTGAACAAACGTCAATACAAAATACAATTACTATAAAACTTAGTAGTTGACTTTTTACGTAAAAACCATGTGTGGATCCCGTCCAAAATTCAATATTTATTCATTAGTGCTTTAAAAAAAAATCTTTCTTTCAAGATAATTTGTAGTCTTATCTATTGCACACATCATGGCACAGTCTTTTCGTTTAATTAATTATACCAATTAATTTACACAACCATTTTCGTTTTTATATAATGACTTCTCGTGGGCTTTTCTTGTTTTATTTTGTATTCACACAGTGTCACTAAACCGACCAACCCATTCAACTGAAGAAGAAGAAGCAATTTTTCGATTTTGATAATTAGTTTTAATACGATTATTATCAAATAAAAATAAATGAGTGGGTTTTTTCAAATTATCATAATCCTATATTAGCTTAATAATTATTACGGTCGGAAAAAGGACAATGAAAAGAAATATTAAAAAAAAAGAAGATTACTTTGAGGTCGTGAGATGCGGTCTGGTGTAACGAAGTTTTTAGAAAAACTTTTTCTTTATCGTGCCAACGTTTCGGTCTTTACTGAGATCATCTTTCGGGCTTCAGAAATATATGTAGGATGTAGGAAAAAAAATTCCACATCCTATATGTATTTGTAAAATTTAAAAAATATTTATAAATCCCAGGCTCAGAAGATGATCTAAATAAAGACCGAAACGTTGGCACGATAAAGAAAATATTTTTCTCACGATCTTCAAATAATCATTAACCAACGGGCATTAAACTCCACACATAAAAAAAACAACCTTTTGTAAAATTTCAATTAATTAAGGTTTTTAGTTGAGATAAAAAAGTCAGTGTCAGAAGCGGGATTCGAACCCATGATCTTCGGCTAGATATCCACTTGTCGCCGAGAATCAAATAGATTACACGACCTTTGAAAAATGGCAAAAAGGAGGAAAAAATCAAAAGGTGGGGTTTAGATGGGAAGTTAGTGTCCGAGGGGATCGAAGCTCAAGTGGTAGAGCACCGGCGTATCTAGCTGAAGGTCGTGGGTTCGAATCCCGCTTGAGCACTAGCTTCTTTTTTATTTCAACCAATACCTTAGATTAATTAATTGAAATTTCATTCTAAAACCAATAATGCCATAAAATAAAAATTAAAAAATCGATTTTTTCTGGAGATGTTTAAGTTTTCTTGTAGAAACCAATAATTTCAATTTATCTAACAAATTTTTATTGTTTAAAAATCAACACAATTTTTTTTTCAATTGATTAAGGTTTTTAGTTGAGATAAAAAGTCAGTGTCACGCTAGATACGCAGCTACTCTACCACTTGAGCTATCGTGACTTCGATCCGCTCGGACACTAACTTCCCATCTCAACCACACCTTTTTTCCCTACTTTTTGCCATTTTTTAACGGCTAGCAATGATACCTCAAGTGGTAGAGCAGCGGCGTATCTAGCCGAAGGTCGTGAGTTCGAATCCCGTTCGTGACACTGACTTTTTTATCTCAACTAAAAAACTTAATTAATTGAAAGATATTAATTGGTCAAGCGGACCACGAAAAGTAGTGACTTTTGTAAAATGAATATTTTATACTAATTTTGCGATTTGAAACCTATCTGCGAAAACCCATGTAATATAATGGGTTTTAATAATATAACTTACACTTATTTTTTTATTATATCGACGATCCTGCCCGGATTGAAATTTATTAAAATTTAATTCGTACTCTCTGTTATCCTTCTATCTGAAGAGTATAAACAATCGTCCAAAAACAAACAAAAAACCAGTGGCCGGTGTAAATAAATAAACTGTAAATAAAAAATTACAGCCTGACAAGGCAATAACAACCGACTGTTCTAATAAAGCAATATTGTTCTAAATTGCATTTGCTTGATATTTACAACTGCAAAATATATGATTTACGTGATTTGTAAAACCAGCTCAGTAGACAATGCAAATAAAGTTACAGATTGTACTAAATATATCGAATTTAAAAATTAATTATAAATCTAATCTATTTATTACTTGGAAGGAAATTGGGTGGTTATTCGCAGGGCTTGATAGGTTTTTCAGAAAAACTGCTACTTCTTAGTTAATACTTTTTACAAGTAAAGTGAAAATTTACGCAAAACTTTTCTACGCCCTACTTTAACTTTTGCAAACTTGATTGCTAAATCAAGTTAAGTTGGAGTTTTAACTGGGATTAGCTTCATAGATCCGCCAAAGAGCCCCAAGAAGGCTTAGGGATTGACATTTGGAAGAAAAAAAATACAGTTTCAATAATCCGTGTGAAAAAATTTCGAACTTTTTCTACCGTTTCATTTTTTTTATGTGTAAAATTTAATATCGCTTAGAAATATGCGTCTAGACGTATATCGGATTAAAAGGGAGAGTAGGGAGAAAGACCGCGGTAGATGTAATTTACCACGAGCCGGATGAGCAAAGGATGGCACGTATATCAATAAAAATAATGAGCCTGAATTGATTCGATGAAAAGAGCAACAGGCTGCAAGGGTTCCTCGGCTCGGGGAAAGAATTCTAAGTAACTTAGCTTTGAAGAGTTTAAGCTTTATTCAATGCACATTCTCAAATTTCCCTAATATTTTCCAGAAAGAACGTTAAAAACTCTCATCATCTTTAAATACATTAGACTGTTTTATTGATATGAAATGTATTTTTTGAAAAATTGACCATATGCCTTAAATGATAAATGGTTTCTTCTGACTGTACGTCTTAATTGAATTATTTCCTTGACACTACAACTGTATATACCAAATCTAATTTGGTCTAAATTCATCCTCTTCCCGTTTGAGAGCTACCACGTACCAAATTCTGCCCCTTGTTCGCGACCACCTACCAAAGGACAGAGGGAGAGGACGACGTGATCCAACTACAAACTCCTCTCATCCTCTTAAAAAAAAAAAAAATAAAATAAAAAAGTGTAAATAATTACGGAAGAAAAATTAATCTTTGTCCCTCCAGCCCAGAGTAACCGGCCTGTTAAATAAATCTTGTTATACCTGTTCATTATTATTATTTTCTATTTAAGAGTTCTACCGAGAAATTAGCTTTAGCGTTACAAGTCTAAAATTCGAAAGTTCTCAACCGTAATTTTATGGGGATCAAAATTCATCATTACATATACATTCAACCAACCATTTTCTATTTACCTTCGGAAATAATTGATTGTCATTAGTAATAAAGTGTCAGTCACGATAGCTCAATTGGTATAGCAGCGGCGTATTTAGCAGAAGGTCTGGGTTCGAATCCCGCTCCTGACACTAACTTTTTCATCTCAACCAAGACCTTACATAAGTAAAACGAAGTATATCTTCACTTAAGCTCTGTGTGGCCATTTCATTTGTCGCCGAGAATCGAATCCTGATTACCCGACATTTGAAAAATGGCAAAAAGGTGGGAAAATTGGAAAGATAGGTTGAGATGTGAATTTGGTGTCCGAATGGATCTAAGTCACTATTGCTTATGCGGTTAGAGCAGAGGCGTATTTAGCCGAAGCTCGTGGGTTCGATTCCTGCTTGAGACACTAGCTTTTTTTATTTCAACCAATACCTTAGATTCATTAATTGAAAGATGTTATTTGGTCAATCGGACCACGAAAGCTAATGGAATTAATTAATAATAAACTTTTTCTTTTTCCAGGTGACATGGGCTAGTCTGCTCGCCATGGTGCCGGTAAGTAGAAGTGAAGTATGAAATTGACGGAATTATCAATAATCCTCTGAGCCTGAGGAAAGCAGATTTGTGTAATTGTGTATGAGGAAAGGCCTCTTATCGTGACCCTCCCAGGCCTCAAGGATAATTGTCCTTTGATACATTGCTAATTCACCTCCCTGTATCATTTATTTCGGCAATGCCGATGATACATCAAGCAATTGAGTAACGAAGAAACAAAATTATTGTTCTATTGTTAAATTTTATTACATTACACATTCAATAACACACAAAACGTATTACACATAACACGTCGACATGCATCACTTCAGCAAGGAACACACTTACCCGATGCTACGCCATGCGACGCTACCCGATGCTACCCGACGCAAATCCAAACTCCGATTTTCCATAAGGTTGCATTACCCCCGTGCACTTCTTCCCGATGCTATGCCACGCTAACCTACCCGATGCTACCCGACGCAAATCCAAACTCCGATTTTCCATAAGGTTGCATTACCCCCGTGCACAACTACTCGATGCTATGCCACGCAAACCTACCTGACGCTCTGCGATCCCCACTGTCCAGATTTTCGTCGGATCACATCGAGTACAGTCGAAGACAAAAGAACCAGACACTCATATTTTTATTCAAACTACATGTATTATTGTCGTTATATTATTTACAACATACTTATTTCAATATGAACCAAATTAACTGTGAGTAAAAATTAATTAGTTTTTATTTAAAAAAATAATTTTAATGGTTTGGTAGAAAATTAATCAAAACACCGGAATACCATTTTTTGATATAATGAATTTAACTAACAAATTATTGTACTCGCTTCGGCGGTACATATACTAAAATTGGAACAATTTATTACACGGTTTTGCTCATAAATTTAATTAACAATTTATTTCATAGTTTTGCTCGTAAATTTACACCATTTTCGTCGGGTAGCATCAGAACACTCATATTTTTTGTAGTTTATTTCAAACTAAGTACATGTAATTTTGCCGTTATATTAATTACAACATGTTATTTCAATGTAAACCAAATTCATAAGTTTTTATAAACATTGTTTAATTATGATGGTTTATTTAAAACAATTAAGTTTAACAAACAATTTATTAGATGGTTGTGCTCATAAAATTTAACTAACAATTTATTACGAGGTTTTGCTCAAAATAGTGCATTAAGAACAAAAGATGCGTTGTGATTGTGATAGTGATTATTGTGATAAATGCTGTGGACTGTACGCGACGTGTGCTTGCGTCGGATAGATGTGCACACCCCACCAAAACGTGGCAAGGCGTCGGGTAGCGTCGCATGGCGTAGCATCGGGTAAATGTGTTCCCGGCTTTAATCTTGGATTCCGTCAGGTGAGGTAGACCATTCTACTTATTCCACAATTTTATTGTTTCTTCATTATTATTTTTTAAAGAGAGGTTACTAACTGATACTCATTCATACTTACAAAACACCCTTGTTTTCTTAAAAATCGCAACAGAGGAGCCGACAAACTGCTTGTGTGCCCAAGGTCGCTTTATATAAGATTTCAAGCCTACTCGTTCCCTGTAAGGGGCTAAGACATGACACTCTTAGATCTGATCTTAGAGCAACCTTTCTCGAATAATTGTACACCTGCTCGGGTTTTGACCTAAAAGGAGGTGTCCGTATGTCAGAAGGGTATGGACGATTCTCTAGGGGGTTAGCACGATTTCGTTTCAGACTCTCGGAGAGACATCGTTCAGTCGTGGTCTTAACCGAGGAGCTTCTCGGATGACGCGGCCCACAGACGATGCCAAAGCTCTCTATCAGAGCATTCTCAACTGTTCGCACATCTGCATCGCGGTAGATCGGTCTGGAGAGCGAGACGTCCCAGCTTTCGTTGCCCTCCGGGCCGAAGTGGCCGGATCGCATTCAGTTCCATTACATATCGGTAATGATCACGATCATTTGCCTTTTTAACTGCTTATTATTGACTTATCATTCTATAAAACAGCAGTGTCCTTACAATAAGATTTCCAATACTTATTCCCTTTTCTATGAAATCATTTATGTCATTTATGAACCAGGATAAATAGGGATAGCAGACATACCTGTTTCAAACTACGGTCTTCTTGAAAGGTTAGTGACTGAATAAATTTTTGTCGGATGGATGCGAGTTGCTGTATATTTTTCGGTTTACGCTTTTGGTCTGTATATATTCCCTTGTTTCGTCTGCTGAACTCTAAATTACACCTTTACCGATCGTTATTTCGTTGGATCATTATTTCAGAAACCTATGTCGATGCGGATTTTGTGAAGGTTGTGAGTTGTTAAATATTTAAAAGCAGTTGTAGAATGAATGCAAGTGGCTGAAGGTTTGCCAGGATTTACTCCTTTATCAGTGTAGTCCGCGTCCATAAGTTTGTTCCGATTTACTGTCTTCTACCTCACTACCTTCAATCGAGGGTTTGTCCTTAAAATTTAAAAATTAAAGAGTTAAAGGGGTCTAATGATTATTGTCCAACTGACTAACCTTTGTACATTTTATAAACATGTAGAAAGACAAAATAGACAAACATGGACCAACGACTGATGATGACGAAATGCCGAAACAGGTTTTGACATAGTAAAAAACGCGAGCATAAGAGAAATAATCAAACTAGAGGTCAGCATCACACCTATCTCAAGAAAAAATCTTAAATCTTTATAATAAACAGCTAAGCAGATAAATTATTACATATCTGGATGGCCACTCATTCTTATGCCTTAGAAAATTGTCAAAGAGGTGCCTCTGACAAAACACTCCTCATAAGATCGGATAGCCAAGCAGCTTTTAAAGCATTGTCATGTAAAAAAATGACCTCTAAATCAGTCAATGCTTCCATAAACTCGAAAACCTGGTAAAACCAAACAATCTGAAGATATCTAGCACCACGACACAAAGGAATTTTGGGAAGAAAAAAGGCAGAGGTGGATCTGCAAGAGCCATGTATCCTGAACCTATTCTTTGGATAAAAAACACAAAATCCTCCATGACAGAATGGATCCCAAAAAGACAAAACGAGAGAAAACTAAACACTAAACTGGGGTGGTAGACACTCTAAACTTAATCCATTTACGTTTTCGTAGTCAATTGACCAAGTTACTTCTTTCAATCAATTATTCTTTGTAACGTCTTGGTTGAGATAAAAATCATAATCTTAATTAAATTCACTAGTTTCGTGGTCCGCTTGACCAATTAATATCTTACAATTAATTAAGGTTTTCAGTTGAGATAAAAAAGTCAATGGCATGAGCGGGATTCGAACCCACGATCTTCGGCTTGATACGCCGCTGCTCTACACTTGATTGAGATGGGAGGTTGGTGTCCGAGTGGATCGAGGTCACGATAGCTCAATTGGTAGAGCAGCGGCGTATCAAGCCGAAGATCGTGGGTTCGAATCCCGCTCGTGCCATTGACTTTTTTATCTCAACTGATAACCTTAATCTTAATGCTTAAAGAATTTTTTTGACAGATAGGAGAGTAGGTGTAAGTAGAAGGTAATATGTAGCCAAGCTTTGCTAACCGTTTTAAGTCAATGTACACAGGGAAGGTGGAATTGTCAACAACGCGAAACACCTGCTGGAATCGATTAAAGTGAAATCCAATCTGATTGCCTGAAAGTAGATGAATTTAATTTTGGAAAGATTCGTTTAAGAAAAACATTTTTAATTACTTAACGGCATTATGCAGATAATATTGTTTGATTATTTAATATATTGAATATTGGTAAATAATAAGTATAATTAATTTAATCCAAATTCCTGGACTTCGTACATTTGTTAAAACTGTCTTTTTTTAACTCTACTATTTTTTCTTTTGTTTGTTTGAACTTTTGGACATCAGTACAACCTGAGGTAGCATCCGCACATTTGTTCACCGCTGGTCCAACAGACAGATAATTATTTACGGATGCCTATAAATTGTCGTGTCGACATAAACACGGAAATGTCGGCAAAGGGGCTGCTCGAAACTAAGGGAGAGGCGTGATCTCCTCATTAAATCGAATCGCTCACCGAAGCCGCTAATACGAATTCTTAGTATAATTTATGGAAAACGTATGGTGATTGGTGGTTTCCGAAGAGATTAATCAGGTTTGTATACCAATGGGAGCACACCCCGCACTCAGCGTATTGTGTGGTAAACAACACCGATACAAAGTTTTCCTTTTCTTTGTCAGACACCGTTTATTATTAATTCATGAGGTTGTCACTGCTCAATATTAAATAACCATACAGAATGATTTTAACGGGTTATTTTTTATTAACCAAAACACTGGAAGGACAGAAACTATGCTCAAGCGTCTTCCCGAATGTGGCTCAACCCCTTGATAAAATGTCACCAGGGGTTGTTGTTCAAGTTGCAACGGGAAATTCCACAGCAGTTTTTTTGATTCAGCGATCATACCTGGCCCACAGGAGCTTCAGAATTACTCGGGTACTCCATCGGCTAAGAGAGATATCAGCGGGAGTGCCACAGGGCGGTGTCCTGGTCGTCTCCTATAACTTATATTCGCGAGTGACTTGCATAGAGAAGTTTCGAGTACAGTGACTGCATTTGCGGATGATACCGCCATCTTGGCTACAGGAGACAGTGTTGAAGAAGCAAACAGCTCTCACAGTTGTCTCTAAGTGGATACCAAGGTGGCTTCAATTAAATGAGTCAAATTATGTGCATGTAAACTTCACCAATAGAAAGATTGTCACTATTAGATTGAATGCAGCTAGGGTAACCTATGCAAATACAGCGAAGTAACTTGTATGACCTTACATTCCAAACTCAAGAGGAAAGAGCACGTTAAGAAAAACTGTCAAGAACTCAAAATCAAATTTCGGTTAATATACTGGCTCCTCGATCGATATTCAGAATTGAATACTCACAGGAAGGTGCTCCTTTACCAGCAAGTTTTAAAGCCTGTATGAAATTATGGCATCTAGCTTTGGAGCTGTACCAAGAAAGCTAATGTGAAGATGATACAGACGTTTCAAA